TGGGACGTGCCGCACCACCTGCCCGCGCCCCCTGCACCCAGCAGCGGTGGCGGATTCTGCAGCATCATTGGGGCCCCGTCTCCAAGCCGTGGCAGCGGCAGTCTCTTCGTCCCCCTTTTAAAGGGTTCTTCTCCTGGCCTGTGCCATGGAATCCATTCTCAGGGACCCTTGCCCTATCTTCCCTCCCATCAGTGCCATCGAGGGGCAAGTTTATTTCTGGGGTGGGAGCTGGGCACTCATCTTTCCACAGTCTCCTGGCTGGGGTCGGGGTGGGGGTGACGCGAGCCCCAAAGGAGAATGCCTCAATTCGTCGTCTCTGGGGTCCTGCGCTCAGTCTTACCCATGTCTGTTTGTCCTCAGCCCCGAGGTGCGTCTGGGATCTCAGTGCGTGTCTAGCAAGGAGCCTGCGTCCCAGAGAGTCCCCGGAGCACCGCCGGCTGGTGCCCAGCGCGCCGGGCCATGCTGCTGCGGCCACAGCGGAGCTCCTAGCGGCGGTAGCGCCCCCTGTGAGGAGGCCGGAGATGCCTCTGCCACTGTGAACGGTGCTGCCCGCCAGGATACGCTCAGCCCCGGACCCTCTGGGCTGTGCGGGCCCGCGACCCACACTGAGTAGGGAGAGCAGCGAGCGCGGCAAAGACCGCCCAGCACGGGCAGCGGAGGCCGGCTGGTGCAGCGCAGGGACGCGTACTCAGTCTGACTGGGGCTGGCACAGGCGGCTAGCTATGTCGTCCTGGACGAGGTGGCATGGACCCGCCATGGCACGGCTCTGGGGCTTCTGCTGGCTGGTTGTGGGCTTCTGGAGGGCCGCTCTCGCCTGTCCCACGTCCTGCAAATGCAGCGCCTCTCGGATCTGGTGCAGCGACCCTATTCCTGGCATCATGGCATTTCCGAGGTTGGAGCCTAACACTATAGACCCTGAGAACATCACCGAAATGTGAGTTCCTGGTGTTCTCCTTTCTTTCTTCTCTCCTGGCCCCTGCAGCCCTGGCTGGCCAGGCGAGTCCATCCTGGGCATGAATGTTGTCTCAAGTCTGGGGAGAAGTCAGAGATGAACATGCAGGGCTGGGCCATCTGTCAGTTACCTGTCCGTTTCACTGGCTTGGGGCTGATAACACGGGGAGAAGTGTGACAGTTTAAAATAAGTTTTAAATATACTATATGTGAATAACATACTTGTGGGAAGGCATTCTATATGCACTTTATATTGCAAAGTCTTGCTGGGCATGCTTTAGGCTTTCCACACGCAGTAACTTAGTTTTGGACATTTTTGTGTCATAAGATGCAATGTGTATGTTGTGTTAGGAGGAGTTCTAGTAATATTTACTAGAAAGGAGGTTAAGATAATTCACTTTTTAAAATTTGTTGGAGGGGGTTAGAGTCTACCCCCGAACATCTTTCTCTGAGGTTTGGAGTTGACCCATGTCCCTTTTCATTTTATGCATCGAGGTTTTACTTAGGAGATTGCATCCAGAGATGGCCTTGAACATGATCTGTAAGAGGAGAAGTTCTGAGTGTTGAAAAGCACTTGCTCAAAAGGGAAAATGTGATCGTTGGAAGCCTAAAAGCCTGGTCTGATTTAATTTGGAATTGACTTCTCAGAGATATAATTTTGAGACCATTTGGATGATAAATTTTAATTGTCCACTGAATATTTTCTCAGGACAAGGTTGGACGATAAAGCTGTGTGTAGTCCTCAGATGAATGCTGCCTTTAGCATGGGACCCCTAGGTCCCTGGCAATATTTGAGCTTGTTCTGATCTGATGGAGAAACAGAATTGTGCATTTGTGTCTCCTCTTTTTATGCCTTGTGACAAATACATTAGCAAGTAGGAGTTCACTAGTCCTTCCTCCAGCATTCTCCTATCAACTCTACTAGAGGTGTCTGCCCTCCCCAACATTGCCGTTTATTCCATTAACATGAGATTTTATTCATCCACGTAGAGGGGCTGTAAGGCAAAGTTTCTCTAGGTTTCCCTTACGTGTTTGATACTAAGATAGGCAGCCCTGAAAGTAGGGCTTGGGCTGTGGCCTTCCGGTTGGCGAGTGCGCATGCATATTCCCCCCACAGAAAACGCACACCCTGTTTCTGCCAACGTATGACCGAGGTAACCTGTTTTTTTTTCTTCATGTAAGTAAGAGACCTTCCTAGTCTCTGTTTGTTCTACTGGGGATGTTCTTGTTATAAGGCTCAGGCAGAAGGAAGTGACAACAGAACAGAGGGGAAACGTGCTGGCCTAGCTGAGATGTGCAGGGAGCAGCCAAATATCAGGCTGGATCCAGGATGCTTGGTTTTCAATCTTTTTTTTTTTTTTTGCCAGGATAGCAGCAGTCAGGGCCTGAGGTAGGGCCCTGGCCGTGCTGACCCTGGGCTGGCCCTAGACTGGCCCTAGGTTGGGCTGGTCCAAGCTCACCAAGCTGGTCAGAGTGTCCGTGGCCTTTTGTCAGATGTGCCTTTTATATGAGATGGGGTGTCAGTAGTCAGATGGAGAAAGCCATATAGAATTCAGAGCTCTTCGGACTATTTTAAGAGCAGGGGGAGTGCCTTTGTACAGTTAGATGTTGTTTTATTGTTGTTTTTAAAATTCTGTCTTAGGCAATAGATAATATAAAGAGGGAGAAAATGAGGTAAAGCGAGTCATTTTCATTTAAAATTTTTTCACTTTAATATTTTAAAGTCACAATCAGAGAAAAGGACACTAAAACTCTTTAAATTTAAAATGTTATTTTAAATCTTAGTGTTCTTAGCTGCCTGAGATAGAAGAAATCAATAGATTTGAGGAGAGCTTTCTTATATTAGTCCTCATAATTGCTGCTGCTGCTGTTTTTATGTCTGATGGCAGATTCCTATTTTCAGGCTTTTGAAAATGAATTTTTTGGGTAATATTTACCAAAGCACTTGTCACAGTTACTCATTCAATAATGGCACTGCTAATTTCTACTCTTATTTTTTATCCTTTGGTTTGAGCATTTGTTGAAATTAAGATCACTGATAGGTATCAATGCATAAATGTTTAGGATGGGGCATTAGACTGGCCAATAGGAAAAAGTATGCTCCCTGCTCTGTCCCTCAGCTTTGTTCGAGCCCAGCCAGTTTGAGCCCCAGGTGTTCTTATCTGTAAAATGTATCGAAATCCTTGTTTAGAAAGCACTTAGCATCATCATTTTGAATTCTGCTGTTTTTATATCAAAATGACATCAGTGGATGAGCTTGTTTCACTCTCACCATCTGTGTTCTTTTTCTTACATATTAATATTTGCTTGAACAGCTTTTCAATTCTTGGCCAGTAGGTACCAGCTACAGTTGGAACCAAATTACACTTTTTTAAAAAAACTTGTTATTAGTCCCAAGGGTATTCCTAAAATAACATGTTTCAAAGTTCTGGTTTAATGGTGCTTAGCTAAACTTACATGTTCCCATAAAAAAGTAGGAATAATATAACTAAATAAACTGAAGCAACAGTTGACTGTATCATTTAAAAATAGTATATCTTTTAATAACTATATATTGGGGGAAAATATAACCACTGTGCCTTTTAGAATTCAGATAAAGGTCATGGTAGAACATTTTAAAAAATATATGTATGATTAAAGAAGAGATAAGCTTATTTTTGTTTCTACATGCATATTTTAAGTCAAGCTGACATTTTGTTTTGAGAGTCAGTGTTTGACTTTATTTTATGAAAAATCTCTCCATCACAGTGTCTGTGTCTCATACTCTTTACTCACTAACATGGTCTACATCTAGATCTACATCTCTCTGTCTATAGATATGCATTACATTTGTCTATCATCACACTGCTGAGAAGTGCCCACTTTTGTTATTTGGTTATGGTTTTACCAAAGCGATACTAAATTCAGTTTAAAAATAATACCATTGTCACATATAAGTGGAATTCAAGAGTAAAGCCTGTTGTTGGAATTATGTAACTGGCCATTTAAGTCTCAGTTTTATCAGGTGCCAAAATGCATTGCAAAGGACAAGTTTTGTCTCACATAAGTGGTAAAAGGCATGGATAAAATAGGTCGGGTATTTTAGTTTTATCGTGGTCAAAAACATATAATATAAAATTTGTCATCTCAATTATTTCTTACTGTACCATTCAGTAGTGTTGTGAAAGGGAATGCATTTTTATATTGTCTATATTTTAATGAGGACCAATGATGACCTTTTTCTCAATTTCTTGTATGATGTTCTCTGACTTGGGGTTAATATTTGGAGACAAGTGTAATATTTTTCCTCTCAGTACAACACAAATAGAATTTGCAGCTTCTGCCGCCAGAGCTTCTATGTGCAATTTATTGCTGGCTTGGTTAAGTGACTGTAATGTTATGTCATTAATACATTGATTTTGGCCCTCTCACCTTAGTAAGCATTTCCATTGCAATTAATTGTACTAAATAAAAGTTCTGGCATTTATAAGGATTCAGTGAAAGGCATCAGTTTTTTATGACTCCGATGTTTACTTTTCAGCTCCTCCATGCTTGAATTGTGCTTTACATGCATTTAAGAACCTTGGAGTAAGTTTTGAGTGCGGTTACATAGGCCACACTGGACTTGTTAATAAATAAGACAGTCTAATTTATGTCATTCATTATTTAATACGGCTTGCAAGCTCTTGTTGAAAACCTGCTGTCTTCATAGTGAAGATATTTTCAGAATTCAGCTCAGCACAACCATTTTGAAGTCTGAGTTTCATACCTTCCATCTCCGCATTATGGAGGTTTTTATTACATTGGGTCAAA